TGTGCGATGCTAAGGCTTTTAACGATAGCTAGTACTGTTTTTTATCTCTGTATAGATCCTGTAATATTGCTAACGTATGCCTGACAGGTGGCTTTTCTAGAGGAGGCTGTAACTACCACCGCGGCGGTTGTCGGTGGTGGGGATGAGGAGCGGAGATACAGAAGCTATCCATTATCCTTGGAGGGCTCCTTAGTCTCGCTGTCTAGTTTACACGATGAACGCGGCCTCTTCCTCGCCTCCTACCGACCCTCGACTAGAGTACCGCGCGTGCGGCATCTCTGCACGCGACTGAAGGCCTCCCAGGCAGTGGGCTCAGAGACAGGGATGCCTCGGCCACATGGCTACGACTGCGAGTCGGTGGCCAGTCTCTTTGGCGGCACACAGATGCGCATGCTCTCGAGGGCTCGTCTATTTCGACAGGAAAAGTCCGATCGTGAGCGTCCTTTTTTACCCCTTTCCTTTTTCTACCATGTGCGAATTGATTTTGGCGTTGTGTAAGGGTTTTTTGTCTGTATATGAATGCTACAAGTTCAACTACTGCGATTGGGGTGAGTGTATGGCCGAATTCAATTTGGTTTACTACATAAGCAGGGCTTTTGTCCAAAAAAAACTATTCATGCAGTGAATAGGCACTTTGAAGATGCTCGTTGGTATCGTTATTTACTTCTCATGGGGAAGTTCGCTTACATTTGGTGAAATCCATGGTCTAAGTAGCATTTTTAAAAGGTAAATGAGTGCTGGTGTCATCGAGGTAACCTAGAATCGATTGTAGCTTTTGAATTCCTTCTCCTCGTACTTGTATAGAGCGAAAAGCTCCTCAGAAAATTGTTAGTTCTCTAAAGTCCTCATTGAATTCATCTGGACCCCACGTCGGCACCTACCTGTCTCATCTGCGAACGGCTTATCGTGAGTCTTTTGACTAGGGCCATAGTTCATGTGCATCAAGTGTCGGTGTCGTTTTGTTTAACTATTTTTTTGTTGACAGTAGTAATGTCAACAAAACAACTCTGGAACCATTAACTTAAACAAAAAGCGGACTTATAAACCACCATTGGTTTGGTTACCTTTGAAGTAAGCTTTGGGGGATAGGACTCCAATATTCTACCCCAACTTTCAGACACATCGCGCTGTGCTGATTCAAGCTCCATGAGTGGATTTTATGCAGGCAAAATCGCATTCCTTAAAAGGCTGTTTTTGACCGACTAGGTGATTGACTGACTTTGTGATCCACAAAGGCGTAGCAATTTATGCAATCCAATAAATGACACCCTTCACGAGATGCCAACATTATTATTTGGTTCCCAGCACTTTTAAGTCAATGTTCTGATAACAGTTGTGCATGCACGTTGCCTTGATGGTTTGAGCGTTCTGAAGTAAAATTACAACTAATTCACAAAAATTACTTTTCTCAAGAGTCTAGCATCAAAACTATTCGCATAGAGTGATAATGTCAAAGGCACAGGGCAGTTAAAATTTCTTACTGGGATTTTAGAAATTCTGGCCGCGTCTGGAGACGACGATGCGGGCGGCGCTCTCATCTGGAACTGCACCACGGGTGTCCGCATTCAGACCCTTACCGTGGCTAGTGCTACAATCCCTGTAATTGACGTTTGCACCTTTAACAACGGAGGAAATTTGGCTCTCCTAACCGACCACCAAATTGACGTTTTTAAATGGTCACAAAGTTACGGAAGTGACACTTGACGCTGGCCGCGACGTTCACAATACTTACGTGTACATAACCTGCGTATTTACTGTATAATCTTGGGGTTAAGTCAACCAATGTGTTATCATCAGTAAATTATTTCATTTTTGAGGGTTCGGATTTTGTCGGGTGTACAAGGAATGCTTAGGTAAAATGGCAACTTCCGGGTTTGTCCAAAAAAACTCCAAGTACTGCTCGATGGAACCTTCCGTTACGTTTACACAAAGCTTTTGTGCAAAACGGTTTGTTAGCATGCCCAAAATATTCTAGAATACCCATTGTGCACCACTTGTGTTCACCCTTCCCACACCAAGGTCCGTCTCTCGCGTTTGTTGGTTGGTCGGGATCAGGAGCTCCGCGTGCTGTTCATAAGACTGTGCTAAGACTCTAGAAAGCGTTCCTGTTCGATTTCCCAGAAGTTTCAATTGGTAGCTAATCCCCGAACACGCTCCTGTTCACTTCCTCCTCATTAGTTCATCACGCCTAACGTACCTTAAGTGATTGATAGGGGCAGCCAACCATAATTACGCGTAAATGAACCCACTGAGTGGGACTTGGGCAGCTCCCGTTAGCCATTCGCCGAATTCGTAGGCGTTCACCGTACCCTCTTGGTTATTCTAATATGCCGATCAAAAGACAACCATTCTAAAGACTGTCCAGGTCGGGAGCTCGATGAAATCCGGGCCACGCCCACAAACTCCAGTATGCAACAGAACGCCAAGGCTGTGGGCTGTGATCCACCACCACGGAGTTCGTTACTGACGGACGCCTTTAATCTACTTTAAAATGTCACCGCAACGCACCGTGAAGTCTCCTATGGATAGGGCCATCCGTAGAGGAAATCCCGTTCAATTACCTCACGCACCACCAATTTCTAGGCTGACATTTTGACCAAAAATATATGGACTGTCCACAGCAGGGCACTCCCTACCCGACGGTATGCGAAACTAAAGTCCCGCTTAGAGTTGAGCGACCCATGTAAATAAGGGGTTATTAGTAGTCAAGGCGCAGCTTAAATGGTATGCGTTTAAATGCATTTCCGATCACTCGTAGGAATGCCTATTCGACTGTTAAAACGGAATTCCGTCAATCATGACCCTGCGTTGGAATCAGAAATAGTTGTAAAACAAAAAGGACGAAGGAAGAATTGAAAATGTTGGATGCGTTGCATGAGGGCTCGGTTTTTGAAATTTACAATTCGTAACAATAGCACCGACAAAAATGCATTCAAGTGCGAGGGTTAATACATCTAGCCGGTGCGTGCACATTCACTTCAAGTGTGTCACACAGAGTAGGTGTCCATGGAAGACAGTTGAAGTATTTGCACCACGTGCAGTTGGTTAGCGGCCACTTTATGAACACCACAAGGAGGAGGACAAAGAGCAGTAGCCATGTAACCATACAGGTCATAATGACCTTCAACTTGCGGCGACGCATATGAAAGAGGAGTTCCTCTAGCTTGTGTTGGTAAATCTCGTGGTCGGAGTCACCGGCTATGGTCTGATTTCTCAGATTGGCGACACGCAACATGGTGAGTTGGTTCTTGTTGCCGTACCCCAGGTAGGGCACAAACACGTAAGACAGAAGGACGCCCGACACAAAACCTGAGATGTGTGCATGGTTGTCCAGCCAAGGGAGAAAACCAATGAAAACTCCGAAAACAACCAACACCACCTGCTTGAGGATCACCGACCAAGGTGATACGAATATGTCAATTGTCTGCAGTGAATCCATCAGACTAACCCCGAACAACGCGAAATGTGCCCCGGTTGGCCCCATGTGAACCTATGGAAAGGCAAACAACTTTTTTCACAGATTACGTCTTTGATGGGGAATGTATCTGACTTGCCCTTTAGTACCCTCATTCTTTTGTGATCAAACCTACAAGTGACTTTAAGACTTGTGTACTTGTACTGCAGTGGGAGGTAAACTCGACGCCAGGCCTTACTCAAGGAATCGCGAAATAACTTACATGGTATGGCAGCATTATTCCAGAGGCCAGGCCGGAGAAACACCCAGAGAGGATAAAGACTGTAGCAATTCGCACACAGCCAAGCAATTTCTCCAAGTGACGCATTACGGTCAATTGAATAAACAAGCTGAGTGCCAAATGCAAAATTCTAGAAGAGAAAAAAGCCCCACCACCCCCGGGTTATTCCAGTTAGCTTATGAGAAATTTCCGACCATTTCATTACTTTGGCTATAGAAAGGGTTTTAGTCATTCTTCAATTTCTCGATTAGAACTACAGAAAACCCCGTTTTTAGGCACGAAAACTGATTGAAAACGTGATTGTTAACTCATCAACCATTTCTAGCTCCAACCAGTTCAATGACGGTTAGAATCTGGCCTCAGATTTCTATGCAGCTGTAGTCCAGAGCTTTCGCAAAACAAGCGGATTCGTGAATACAAGTAAAGACAAATTTGAACGCTTTTCTTAACATGAGAAATGAAAAAAGCAATATTTGTATTTTTTCAAATCAATCAATCTTCTAAAGGCAAGAGTTTGGTAATACTGAGGTATAAGTGAGCCTTGTCAGTTCTTCTAGACGCAAAGTGAAATCACTCAATGTCCTCTAGTGTTCGATTCAAAGTAAAGAAAAAATTGTAAAAAAACCTACCCTGCATGTAGAAATAGCGATACAAATAGCCTTGATAGCTGGTCGGGTGTTGATGGGATGACAAAAGGTATCATTCCACAAACTTCTTGCAAGCACCGAACCTGAGAGCCATGGAAGGGAAAAATAAACAAAAGAAACTACTCCGTAATATTGCTCATAGGTGGAGATTGCATTAAAACGTCCTTTAGCAATGAAATCTACAATTGGAACAACCATGGGAATGATGAATCATGATCTCCTCCCTAAACCGTGTTGTCTTTGTCCTTTTAAATGGATAGATTTCAAGAGCTAAAGACTGTCGGTTGTTGGAATTATTTTAAAGTAAGGAGTACTGGCAGCAACATGAAAGATGACCAGTCAATTTAATTCCTCGAATTCGATGTTGAAGTACATCGGGAATTTATGCATACTTTCGTGATTATTAAAGAAAAAGTGTTTATGGAGAAAAGAGAACACTTGAAAAACCATATTTTAGCAGAAATCGAAAACATCTCGAAGCTAAATATTGGTGCCTGTCCACTTAGATTGCACTTTGAAGAAAAAAACTTACACCACTTTTAATGAAAAAAATTGTATAGCGTACTAAAGAGCAAGTTGACAGTTAATAAATTCTAACGAAGGATCAAATAAAACTGAGGGATTTACAAAAGTCTATACAAATAAAGTTAGGTACTTGTTGCTTTCAACAAACTAACCGAGAAGAAAGTACAGATAAAATACCTATGGCAGATAGCACAAGTCCTCATAACATTCATCCTAAGAAGCAAAACGAGACAGCAGACTTGAGCTGTCGGAAAACCTCATTCTCTTGCAGTCTGGCCCTAAATTGGTGCTCTGCTTATAGAGCTAATCCTGTTAGCTACGTAACGTCGTCGCGGACAACTCAAGCACTGGTGTTTACCGATTCAATAAAGCGCTTGAGGCATAACAAAACTACCAACATCTTATAGAGCGACCTTGGTATTCCAACAACAAAACAAGGCAAAATAAAGCACCAGATGATAGGCAGGTTGAGATACCGCAGCAACACGAAAAGACGTCAGTAGCATTTTATTTATAGGTATAAAGTTACCATGATCTTTTAAGTACCAAAGCAACCAACTTTGCGGTAAAGGGTGATTTACTTTAACAAAGGAAAAATGTACAGAGAGAACGCAATGAGAAACCTTTGAAACAGCAAACTATTCAACAAAGCACACAAAAGTAGCTCAAACCCTATCGAGCACTTTAAAATACGAAAGATCAACGCGAACCTTCCACTGCATCCTACCTGCGAGCAGAGATGAGCTTCACTGTGGTAATGACCCTGGAGGAAAGTGCAGTGTACTGGGGTAGTGATGATACACTCACCCTTGAGTCCGACACAGCAGGGCCGCGCTACCACTTCGCACTCCATGTGGGGCGCAAAACCGGCCAATGAGGAGGTGTTGACAGGGTGCGCGCAAATCTGCAAGGTGAGCAAACGCATGTAATTATACAAGACTAAGTAGCAGAGACGCCCACGAATGGTAAGTAAGAGGCTTGAAAAAGCTCAACTTGGGAACTCTAAGCTTGAAAAAAAACTTGATTGGGGGAGTACTGGCAATGTGGGACAAGCTGCAATCAAGGGGGAGTACCACTAAGACTTAGTGTAGTCAAACCTTGGCGCGGGTTCGATAAAATGCATCCATGAGGTAGAAACTGACGGGGAGTTAAACAAGGGACGCTGATATCGCATTAATGTGCTACGCATGCACTCTACTTACGGATTCCACTACATGGCTTTATTTATGAGCATAAATGTAGTAGTTTAGCGAAAGAATACAGACTAATAAACGCCACTGAGAGTTCCATCATTGGTTCGACAAGGAATGCAGCTGGCGAGGAGGGCCACTGATGGGTTTATGACTTCCCTAGTAGGGGTTTTTAATCGCCAACGAACAAAGAGGATTGGTATAAGACGAGATTTCATTAAGCTTTGACAAGTAGCCTCCAAGACAAGTTGACAAAGGCAACGAAACTAACGGCTTGTGTACAAAGAGCTCAGCATCAATGCAAATGAGGCCAACTTTCACTACCATCACAAAGACTGATTTCAAAAGTTGAGTCCTAAGCTAAAAGTGCTGTTTACAAGAAAAGCAAAGATACAAGTAGACAAGCAACGCCCCATGTCTGCTTCAAAGAACAAGAAAAATACAGACCGGCAGACCACGCTCACTAAATCTGTGTGCAATCGTATGCACTTTTCGTGTAGCGAAGTTTTGTATGCGCTGCCAGAAGTGATTTCTAATGTTATACCAGGGTGACAATTCGTAAATGTCACGTAGGAATCCAGAAAGGTAGAGACACAAGGACGTTGAACTAAAATCTTAAGACCATTCAGCTCAGCCGGTTGAGAAAAAAAGACAAGTCATGAGTATCGGTATTTACAATATTCGAGTCTTCCAAATTCTCAGAAGGATTATATTTTTTAGCTGAACTATGTTCCCTTTTACATTTTGTTACCCCGAACGCCTTTACAGTCTCTCATGACTAGTCCACCT